TGGAGGAAAGCTGGGCAAAGTGTCCAAGACGAGATCTCCTTACAGCCTATCTGGCTGCATGAGTCTGCGGTGTGTCAACAAGGCCACCAGCTCCCACACGAGTACATCAGTGGTGATCTGGTCACCCATCGGGTCTGGATGTGAGCTCCCCCCTGTGGTAGAATCATCAGCTGTTTGATCAAAAGTCAGCATCGCTCATGGACGAGTTCAGAGGGTTCGCAACAGGAAAAGGAACCAGCAGCTCAGGGAGAGTGGACTAAGCGACAGAGGAGGGAACTGTACACAAAATGTGCATGAATTGTTGAATCCAAGATTTGTGAACTTCCCCTAAACTGACCATTAAAAAGGCAATTAAAATAGAAACGTGGGGTCTTGAACCTCCAGAGTTTCTTCACCGCCACCCGGCGGCTCCTGTCACTTGTCACCATCCCAACGGGCCCAGGGAGCAGCGTCCTGCTGCTACCACCCCCCTGCAGGGTGCTGGAGCTTGTAGCAGTAACCACTCACACTGAACACCACGTAAAATGGAGGCTGATTGCCAGTGTTCACCCCCAACTCAGCCCTCGCCGAGTTCCAGCCACTAACTTCTCAGTTGGCAGCCTTGCCCTTAACCACAGCCCAGTCAATGCTCCTGTGTCTGATGTCTGATGAGGAGACCAGCAAGCCATCCTTGCAAAGCCACTTCCAAGAGCAGGTGCCAGACTCCTAGCCTGCCTGTCCCCTCCCCTCCTCTCCAAGGCCTGCGGGTGTTCCTAACCAGAGTTTCTGGTCACCAGGTCACTTCCGTTTCCTCCTCCAAGTCTTTGGTTAGACGACCCTAAATATGTTGGCTTTATAGGATAATAAGTACGTTTTGTTCAGGAAGGGCACGGCGGGCCAATTTTAATGAAGTTGTCCACCCAAAGTCTAAAGAATGCATGGCATTCCTTCACCCAGGACCACAAAGCATACTAGAGGCCGGACCAAGAGGGGACCCCCTTCCTTCCGCTTCTGAGTCTCTCATCACTCTTCTAACCTTCCCACCCCAGCACCTTTGCATTTTCCCCCCTGTCCTTTCCCTAGTGAAAGGGACACCATGTGAAGTCCCTGATCCACACGAAATCCCGACAAGACATCTCGCTCTCCCACTAAGTGGAGTGCCAAGGAAGGCGGTGGCTGAGCCCTTATCAAAAGCAGAAAACGTGTGAGCCTCGGAAAACCAACGCAGCCCAGCTGAGTCGTGTGCCTCTGGTAGGTTTTCCGATTCGGTGAAAGGAAAGAGATGGGGGCCCAATGCGCAGCATGTAAAAAACCCGGCAGGCAATCTGAAAGCAAGCTTTTATCAAAAGGTACAGCAGCGCAGTGTTTATTTTTAAACCTTAGAGGGTTGAGAAAACAAAAACCCGTGTGCAAAGCTGCCACCAAGCCTGAGGAAGCATCAGGTCGATCCACCGCTGACAAGACCACCTCTGCTTAAGCGGATTCTACCTTTATAGGTTGAGTTCCCGGAGAACATCATGCTCATTAAAGAAAAGCCTCAAGGTCAGAGGATAAAGACCCTTGAGACGGACTGACAGAGGACCGAGCACAGGGTGGCTGCGAGTGTCATCTCTGGGTGGTGCTGACAACCCCTGCCAGAAGCCATGCTCGGCACATACGCCTGCTGGGCATCCAGGTAGGAGCCGGCGGGCAACACTCGAAATGCACCGTTGTTTCATGGGCTGCTGTGATTCGTGAGAGCTGGCCCCCAGTGGCCGAGTGGGTTGGTTTGGTGGGCTACTAACACCCAGGTCAGCAGCTCTGAAGCCATTCTGTCTTGAGGGAGAAAGATGGACGTTTTTCACACCCATCAAGAGCTGCTACAGTCTCAGAAACCCAAGAGGGCAGTTCTACTGTCTCATAGGAAACAAAATCTAAGCCTTACTCCCAAGGGACCTAGACACCGTGCTTTACGCTATCTAAGAAGCACCTACATCTCCAAGATGTCACAATGGGAGGAACCCCGAGGGGCGCTTCTACGAGTTGGTAGCAAAGTCAAGCTAACAGAAAAATGGCATTTCCCCAGTGAGCGTCTGAAGTTCCCTCACAGCTTTAAGAGACAATTTCCGAAGGGGGCTCCTGGTCAACCCACAGGTCTGGGAATGACCTTAACTGCCCCAGGGCTCAATTTCCAGACACAGGGCAGACTGGTGTGTAAGGGGAACAATAAGTAACACAAGCAAGGAGCACACACCTTCAACTGGACAAAGCGAAAAGTCAGGGAGGAAGCCGCCTAAGTGATGTCGTCTATGGGGCCCGAGGGCCATGATCCTCGGGCGAGAAAGCCCATGAACTGCTGAATATGGAACAAGCTGCTTTATAAGCCTTCACCCAGTTCACAATTAACACATACAGTGTGTGTGTGTGTGTGTGTGTGTGTGTCTGGTGGCAGCATTTACCCCAGAATGAAGTGCAGGAAGGTCAGGCAAGGAGGCCTAGACACCACAAACCCTGGGAGGAAGCGGGGTACGTGAGGTCACAACGTGGGGATGGCGAATCGTGGGCAGGAAGCAAAACACTACTATACGCTGTGAAACGGGGAACAGGTCTGCTCTGGAAAACCTCCCAGAGTTAAAAACCCCAGATTTCAGGCTCCACCCCACTGGGCCCTCAAGAGGGCTTCTTCCCGCCTCTACCCCGCACCAACACCCACCTTCAGGTTGCCCTTGGTGGTGAAGGCGCGCCCACAAATGTTGCACACGAAGGGCTTCTCTCCGGTGTGCGTGCGCTCGTGGATCTGAAGTGCGCTCGCCGAGGAGAAGTTCTTCCCGCAGCGCACGCAGCCATGCTGCTTGGCCTGTCGCCGGGGCTGGGCGGCCAGCAAAGGGACCATGCCGGGGGACAGGGCTGAGGAGCCTCCGGCGAAGGCTCCAGGGACCTCCACCTTGACATAGGCGGGCTGGTTCCGGACAAATGTGGGGAGGCTGCTCCGACCTGGGGATTCAAACAGAAGAGGGAGGAAATGCCGCGCCATTACTCTCTTGGACGCCATTCGTTCTTCACAAAGATCTGCAAGACAGCCGCATGCTAGGAGAGTTGGCAAGCCTGGAAAACGGCCGACTAGAAACGGTAAAGACGCCTGCCAGACAGCTGGCCTCAAACACGGACGAAGATGTATATGGGCTGGGCACCGGGGCAGTTCCAACTTCTATCTAGGGCAGCCCCTTCTCACCATGAGCAACACACACCAGTGGGCATGTGCTTTACAAACATACTTTACACAACGGGCAAGAGGCCTTTCCCGCCTCCGCGACTAAAGGGCAGGGCCTACTTTCTCCAAGATTCTTCTAGAAGGGTCCTGAAGATCCCTCACAAGGCTCCAGAGGGCTCAGGACAAAAAGCATGAGCAAGAACAGCAAGCACTGTGCTGTCTACGCCTGATTAACGCTAACTTTGCTAAATAATGTGAGTGCCTGTTACTGGCGTAGACGGACTCACATGAACCTGTGAGTGCCGGAACTCGCCTCTGACAGGGTGCGGTCATCACCTATCACTGTTGACCGAATGAGAAATCTCTCCTTTTCTGGCGGGTTTGCCACTTAGCTACAAGCTCTGGCACTCACAGGTTTTACAAGTCTACACTTCTACCGAATAAAGCCAAGGCTACAGAGCTCCCCTTTCGGTGCACACAAATCTCATCATCATGTCAAGCTGGATGACCTTGGGCCCACAAGGGACATTCATTAAGTTAAATCCAAAGTCCCATCACCTTCCGTGTCGGCCCGGCTGTTCTCGGCGCTCTCTGCTTTGCCTCCCGCATTGGGCGACTTGGATCGGATGCTTTCCACCTGGCTGTTGGCTGGAGAGAGGTCCTGGAAGGACGTGATCTCCAGAGCTTCCGGACTCCGCATCGGATACTCCTGGTCTTCCATCACGGAGGAGGAGTCGTTGGTCAGTGCATCGCTCTCCGAGCTGTCCTCCCGGCTGCTCTGCCGCTGCAGGCCCAGAGGAGTCTGGCCCACTCTCCCTGGAGCCTCTGGGGAAGCCAGCATGGGGAAGCCCAGCGTCGGTGAGGCCGAGTGGACTTTGGGAAGAGACCCGGGGAGCTTGGAGGAGCTACTGGGAGCCTCCTGGGAGCCAACTTCCTCGACATCAATACTCTCGACCGTGTCATCAAGGCAAATGGCACTAGCGTTGCTGTTCTCGTTGACCACCACCGGCTCGGCGGCCCCTGTGAAGTCGCAGGGGCTCTCGGGGGGCAGGGGCGTGTTGGGGATCTGACCGCCCATGTGCATGCGAATATGCTGCTGCAACATGACGGCGTTGGTGAACTTCTTCTGGCAGATGGGACAGGAATGCTGCGCCTTGATCGACGTGTTGGCTCGGTGGACCCCCAGGTGCGTCTTCAGGTTGCCCTTGGTGGAGAAGGCTCGGCCGCAGACCTTACACTGGAAGGGTCTCTCCCCGGTGTGGGTGCGGTAATGCATTTTGAGGGAACTCTGGCAGCTCAAGACACGGTGGCAGATGAGACACTCGTTGGGATCGGAGGTGGCCTTGTCCAGGTTTTCCACCAGCTGTTGCAATTTCAGGGTTTCTGACCCTGGCTCCGGGGTCCCACGCCCTGGGAAGCCACCAACCCTTGGGGAATACTGCTTGGGTCCCACCCCAGGCAGCGTTCGTGCACCACCCTCACTTCCCGGGGAAGGCCCAGGCTGCAAGGTGTTGGGCGACAGGCCGCCCAGGTGGTCCTTAGGGTTAGGCCCTGATGCCAGAGTTTGAGGTGGCCCTGCAGAGGGGGTCCCTGGCCCAAGGACCAGTTTGCTGTCTAGGGAGATGCTGGCTTCAGCTACAGGGGCAGGCATGGAACCTGCACAGGGAATCCCGTTGCCTGCCGCCATTTTGTCCTGGAACTCGGCAAAAAGCTGGGGGTTGGCCTTCACCTGGGGATGTCGATGAAAGTGCACCTTGAGGTTGCCCTTGGTGGTGAACCGGTGGCCACAGACGGTGCACACGAAGGGTCTCTCTCCAGTGTGGGAGCGTAGGTGGATCTGCAGGGAGCTATCGGTCCCAAAAACCTTGCTACAGTACTTACACTTGTGTTTGTAGAGGGCGGCCTCCTCTTTAGCTTTGACATCCACTGCGGAGACGTTGGGGGGCTTCCCTTTCCCTTTCTTGGACGGGTCCAACACCATCGTGGAGAAAGGGCTCTGGAAGAGCACAGAGCCTGGAGCCTGAGGTAGCAGAGCGCCCGGGAGGCGGGACATGACGTTGGGGGGCACCCT